CAGATACGGTTTCGATTGGGTTGATCGAGGTCTTTCAAGGCTCTAGTGGGTTGGACCCAAACGCAAAGTATGGGGATGGAGAAGAGGAAGAGGGAGAAGAGAGATGAAGAAGAAAAGAGGAGAAATGAAAGAGGTAGGGAATGATGTAGAGAGTAAGAAAGAGCTAGGCGTCACTTTGAACTCACTCGCCAGGCTTCAGAGTCTCCCTAGGAAAAAGGTACGTACGTTTCAGCTTCTCCGTTTCCGTCAGAAAGGACCAGCGTCGCCAATGCATGAGCGAGGAGCATATTTGCAGCATTCATTCGGGCTCTAGTCTGTTGGATAGCACCGAGGAAGGTGAGGCCGACCTCAAACAAAAACGAAAACTCAAGGAACCAGGCAATTCTCAAACAGGTGTCTGACTAGGTGGCTGGCACATAGTGTCCATTATTATGTTCACAGCCAATTGTGTCTGATTCACACTTAGTAGAACCCAGTCTTTGCCAGACTGGTCTAGGCTTTGTTCCAGCATAATGGCATCCGCATGCCCGGCTAGGAAGGCCAGCCAAGCCTCGCGGCGCTTGGAGGGTGCTAGAATAGTGTCCATCCAACACGTTACCGAACTTTGCTTCATAACTTGGATTGTACCAACCATGGCGGAACGCGTGCTGAAACGAAAGGTATGGGCATTGATGCTCACACCTTCTTTCTGAAACCAAAGATTGGCTAAGCGCTTATTGTTGTAAAGTAGTCTTTCGAAAATAAAAGAAACGATGATGAGTGTAAGAAGCGCTATCCCATCCCAGCCTTTTTGCGCTGCGACATAAGTCACTGCAACTAGTTGGAGCGCCCCTAAAAGTCGAAACAAAACCGGTAATGTTGACCCCAGAGGCGAGTTGATGGACTCAATCATCGGTTTGTTAAGCAGCGTATCTATAACCGCTCGTGACCCTTGATAAAGATACCACGTTGAGGCATTCTCATGGATTGCAACTAGCATGCAGCCAGTTGAACTAGGGCCTTCGTTGTTGTAGAGATACCCTGGCGGCCGTTTGACTTGGACTAGTTCGCATAAAGCACGAAAGGTAAAAGAGATAAAAACGCAAGCAGCTGTTCCGTATAATCCAAAAAGAATCATCAAGATGCAGAGTGCAACGAGGGAAAAAAGAACGATAGCCTTGCCCAAACGACAGATAGTTATCGATTGTAAGAAAGATGGGATCTTGTCAGATTCCCCTTTTGGGGAATAGGAACAGTCCAGAATATGGAGGGTTTGATACCGGCGATATCGATTTCCTGTATGTTCACTTTCAATAGAAACTTTGACAGGGTTATCAATATTTCGAATTGAAGTAAAATTGGTCCTCAATTTGACTTGCGGGATTTCGGTGGATTGAGCAGTAGAGAGTGTGGATTTCGATAAAATATCACTGGCTGCGCCGTTCGCACATGGGAAGACGCTACCCCAGTTCGCATCCCAGACAGTCCTTCGTAGCTCGCTGATTGAACTAGCGCGATCGAGAAAATCAAATCCATCATTTAGAAGGGACGCGATATGGTTCAAAACCCCTATAGGTGGGAAGAAACCGACTCCAATAGACCCAAGAAGTGAAGCACGACCGACGAGCTGGTGGGGGAGCCGATTGCTGGCAAGGTAGATAGCGAGAGGCAACAGAGCAGCCCACTCAAAGATAATACTGAGTGAAACATATGAAACGCGCAGTACTGGCGAGTTAGCCTCGTTTGTGCCGTATGAATTGCTCATGATCGTGGCTCGAGAATTGAGGTTGAACTTCGACTTTGTAAGAATGGCGACTATGAGTCAGTTCCATGTATCACACATGCTGATACGCAAGGTGGGAAATTAGGCGAAGATACAAGATTTGACTCTGGCAGATCTGTCACGAGCGATAACCCGCTGCAAGTCGATGTTTGCGCTCGTATCCAAGTACAGGTACCAATGTACCAGGAATAGGCTGACTGCTTATCTACCCGAAACGAGCCAAAAATATCAAACTAAGCTCCGTCTGGTCTTGTACGTGTGGGATTGGCAAATCACTCTCCTTTAGGGAAACATCATCTGAGCTGAGGTCAGACCGATCGCCCCAACATGCATGATGGGTTGTTGTGGCATCACAGAAGCGACGAATTAACAGATAAGTGTCCATTATTGTGCAGATATCGCTGACATTAGCCGGATGTACTCCCGAGGTTCCTAATGTCCAATTACCAGGTTTAAGAGATGTTGGAAGTGGGGTGTTCTTCCAAGGTTGTTGAGGGGCTGAGCTGCAAGTACATACTGAGATGGGAAGAGCGCGATGGCGGTCTGACGTGGCAGACGCCTGCAGGACGATGGAGTGCCAATGAGCGTGGTGGTGGCAGGGGATACTGTAGCAGGCTACTTGTAGGCATCTGTTTGCAATGTTTGCACCATTTGCCCACTCTAGATATCAACCTAGTAGCTTAGCTCTCTTCTCTCTCTCTTCTCAATCAATCAATCATACTACTCGACCAGTATTATGTTCCTAGAGCCCTTCCCCGCTGAAGAGCATCCATTATAAGGGATAGGAACGGGAGCTGGTTTCGCATCCGTTTGTACAGAGTAAGATGCACGATTCGATACTAGCTACAGATCTTGCTCAAACACAGACCCATACTAAAATTCAGCTCACAGCATGCAGCGCTTAGGCTGAGGCTGAAACGTGCGGGTCACCTGCCGGACCCGGGCGACCCGGGCGCAACAAACGAACGACTCGTATTTCTTTTTTGTCATTCAGCAAATTCAATACTTAAGTATCAGTTTTAAACCCTGGAAAACATTTAGCTATAACCTGAAAGTTTGCAAATCTGGACCTCGGGGGCTAGCTTCAGGGATCACTATCAATATTTACTTTTCTTCAAGGTGTTTGCCTGAACCCGGTGAAGCATCTAAGTACTATTTATTCTTTGGTCGCTACTTACTACCTAAGTATATGCCACCGCGAATTATCCTTCGCTATTTTGTATCCTTTCCCACCTTAACCATCATATTTCATATCCTTGTTGATACCCAACCTAAATCAAGATCAGCTCACCATGCGATTCTTGAACACAAAGACATACGAACTGATCGAAAGCGATCGAGCACCGGGAGACGGGCAGTACGCCATACTCTCGCACACGTGGCTCACGAATACCACATCCGAAGTGACGTATGATGACATGAAAGATCACTTCCAAGAGCTGAAAGATCATTTCGAAGGGCCTAGGGATGGTCAACGCAAAGAAAAACGCAAAGAAAGCAAGCACGGCTGGCAAGCTGAAGGAAAGAGAGCCGGCTGGCAGAAGTTGACATCTTTCTGTAACTTCGCTGCACAATATAAATATGATTGGGCTTGGATGGACACATGTTGCATCAATAAGAACAACGAAAGGGAAGTGGAAACTTCCGTTCACGGAATGTTCGAGTTCTATGAAAATTCCCAGGTATGCTATGCCTATCTTGCCGATGTCGATTATTCGGCAAATAAGCATCAGCAAATGTCCGCCCTCAATCAATCGAGATGGTTCACAAGAGGATGGACACTTCAGGAATTACTCGCGCCCAGAACCCTCTGTTTTCTTAGCAAGGAGTGGAAGATGTTGGTTTGGCGAAATACGTTGACCGATCTCCCAGATCTGCATAATTTGGTAGGAAGCATTTCAACCCGCTGGATCAGACTCAGGTCTGATAAGGACGGCACCTTTGTTCCCTTCGGCCTCGCGAGTCGACTGTCATGGTCATCTGAACGACAAACAACCGAGGTAGAAGACCAGGCATATGCAATTTGTGGATTGTTCGACATCAAAATGCGTGTGCGATACAACGAAGGACCATCCAAATTCACATTTTTCCGCTTCCAACGGGCACTTGTTGCCAAGTACAGAGACCCGAGCCTGCTCGCGTGGTTCAGTACACCAGGTAACCCTCCATATACTTATTTCAAGCATCATCCTCAAAACACTCATATTTGATTTTTTAGACATCCTCCAAAGATTCCGGGACCGTCACGGAGCTCACCCGCCAGCCCTGGGTATTCTGGCACCGAGCATTGACTTTTTCTCCAAAAGATCAGGTGTATGGAAAAATACTGGAGGATTCTCTGACATCAGGGGTGAATACGTCCGGGAAAGGTTGTGGATTGAGGCCAATTCTCTGTTTGTCTACACGGGAATGTTTGAGGTGGACATCACGATCGAGCCTTCTCGCGGCAAATCACGAGCGTTTGTGCTGCAATTATTGAGCAACTCTTCCGGCTGGAGAGCTGGGATAGTTGCTATCAAGACTCTGAGCCAAGGAAAAGAACACTGGGAAAGGATATTGCACGAGCGTGGATTGTTTTTCTTCCGCTGGCACATAAAAGATGAGAAGTTATGTGGCTTTTTTGCTCATCAATGGCCATCCTCCCGAACAATATGGCCAAGCCTGGAACTACAACATGAGGGCAAGTACATTGGTACACACACGGCCGTCTTTCAGATGGAGAGCGAGGCTGATGTCCCAGGCCGACGATGTAACTAGAACTTTTATTTTCTCTTTCCTTTCTTTCTCAGAGCTAGGATCTTCGTCATCACCCTTTAGGGATATATGCTTAGATTAGGAAACAGATGTTGATTCAGATAGGAAAGGCATCTATAACCTGATGAGGCTACACAGCCTATAATGAGAGAAGAGTATGGCAAGGTGTACTATTGGGAGCTAGCTGAACTGAGGGGGATAGACAGAGAGAGAGAGAGAGAGAGGAAAGGATCTAACACTATTTCTCAGGGCTAGAATTCATGTGCGCTTACTGGGCCTTCGGAGCATGTGAAGAGGGCATGCCAGATAGCATAGCAATCCTTTCCTGATATTATTGATAGAAATAGTGAAAAGATTAATTCAGCATATAGCATTGGTCAGATACCTCGATAAAAGAGAATGTCAAAACCCTGCAACTACACTATGGATAGGTCGTACTACCAGAATACACCCTCGGAACAAACACCAAACAACAGCAAGGCCACTACACACCAAACTTCCCACCCTTAGGAACAGTCAAACGGGTGCATCCCTTGAAATCACAAGTGTTCTGTAAAGACAAAGTCAGCACAAGCCCTTCAAACCAGAAACCAAAACATACCTTATGAACCTCCGTCCCCCACCAACTAAAGTGGTCACTCGCACCCGTGAAGAAAATAGTCAAGAAGATCAAAACACCCGCAATACCAACCGAGGAATCCATAGCCGAGCTCAGAACAAAGTTATACTTATTCCACCAGCCCTTCACACGGTGACGAATAAGCACACCAAAGATCAAACCAACAACCGCCCAACTTCCATAATTCATACCCGTCGCAGGGGGCAGGTAATTCAGACCACCGATGAAGAGTGGGATATGAATCTTCTTCCAGAGGGAGTTGGGATAGCGACGACTGAGGAAGTAAATGGGGATAGGCAGGATTGCGCCAATGATGAAGAAGTATAGTAAAGCCGAGTAACCGATGTGGTTTGAGAAGTAGCGGCGGGGGCCGATGGCGCCCCAGATTAGGGATGTGTTGAAGTGGGTGCGGGAGAAGGGGCAGCTGAAGCCGTTTACGGCGTCTGTGGTGCAGACGCCTGTTATGTGGTTTAGGGCCCAGTTTAGGACGCCGAGGGAGGAGAGGGTTCCGACTACCATTCCGACGCATTGGACTAGGAATAATTTTCGTTGGGGGATCTGGGGTGGTTAGTTTTTGTTAGTTTTTGTTTTTTTGTTTTTTTGTTTTTTTTTTTGAATTGTGCGCGGGGCTTGCTTACATGGCAGTAGTATGCTAGTTTCATGTCCTGGGCGAAGTAGAGACCCTTGATTGTGGTGATGTATCCGATATCGAAGAACCAGATGTTAGCGAGAACCTTGCCCTCGAAGACGAAGCCGGCGACGATTCGGCAGAAGATGTCGATGTTGATCTTCAGGTTGGCTGTGGCATAGACCAGTGCAAGCTGTGCAAGTTAGCATAGTTCTCGGGATGACTGTATGGCTGGAGAAACTCACTGGAGGGTAGAATACAAGTGCGACAAGACATGCCAGCAGAACACCGTACCATCTCAGCTCCACATCCCACCACTCAACAGCGAAGATGGACATGAACAAGGCAATAACACAGCCAACTAAGTACCACCAAACAGGCACATCGGGATCTCCGCGGTCATCCTCGCTGTATGCCTTTGAGCGACCGGGTAGAGATTCCATAACGAGCCTTGGAACACGTCTGCATGCATCAGCCATGACGTGACGTTTTTCAAGAACGACCCAGACGAGAAGCGAGCTGAGAGTCGCAAACGATAGTCCAAACATGTTCAGTGCATAAGTGATGGGCATGTACACCTTAGTCTGGATTAATTTCTGCGGCCTCGAGGGGCAGGGCATCACATACCGGCGAGTAGGCCAGATACTTCTTGACATCGAGTTTATATCCCGATGCCGCATTGACGATTTTCTTGACCTTGTACACGTTTCCGGTGTTGTCGAATACTGGTGACGGTTAGACTATGTCGCGTACACTTAAACATCTGACATACCTTTGGAGCTCTGGAATGGCAAATAGCCTGTGTACCAGACATTCGTGTAGTAGCAAGCAACGGCTACAATCCAGATCCAAAAGACCAGGGAAACAGCCACGTTGACAATAGCCCACGCGGGAATCAGGAGAGGAGATCCGACATAAGAAACTTGGCTCCCTATTGAATTGTCAGCATTATGCCCATCGCAGCAACAGGAACAGAATTGACTCACAATCAAAGGTAATAGGAAGCAATCCCATGCCCGAACTCATGCCGAAGATCTGGTTGACGACCTTATTCTTCGGCTTGATCCAGCAGGGGAAATTGAAAGTGCTCAGCGCTGGGAAGATAAAGTCCGGGAACCAATACCAGCAGAATGAAATGCAGCAAACCATCGTGAAGAAGGCATAGCGGGACATTTTCCAAGTATTGTAGCTGTCCTGTGTCAGTACGGTCGGGGTCACTCAAATTATTCTCCAATCATACCGTGATTGCACCTGCTCCTGGCTAATGTGGTGGAGGGTGGTCGTCAATGCCGTAACACTCAGAACGCCAGGCCAGATTAACTCCTTGGGAACGACGACAACGGATCTAAACAGACCGGCGAGACAAAATCCGATCAGGAAAGTAGCGAGAGTGATCAGAATCTGGAATCCCCAGCCGGCCTTGTATCCATAGAACATTTGCTGTTCGGTCAGCACGTCTGCGCCGAGACGCACATAGATACTCAGATTGGACATGATGTAGATCAAAGTGTGTTCCTAGCGGTCGAGTTAGATTGAGCTTTTTTTGTGAATATGCCAATACATACCTTTGTGTTGAATGGACCCGGGTTCAATGGGAAAGACCACGCTCCCAGGGGAACGGTCCAGTCGGGGATAATCTTCTCCCATAACTTTCCGAGGGGGTAAGCCAGCAAAAGCACCACGGAGCCGGAGATTGTCAAAGAGGGTGTGCGCAGAGTATAGAGGGTGTTGAGACCGCAGACGACAATGCAGAAAAAGATTCCGATCACCCACATGCGGAGGGTCAGAATGGGCTCGGTGGGATCATCTTCGGCAATTCCTATACCGGCTGCTCGCAGGACATTGAGTTGGGAATCGGCATCTGAAGGTTGTCAGCATGGATGTCCATCCACTGTTAAAATCAGAGACTTCAGGGGGGATTAGGGCATACCGGAATCAGAAACAGGATCATTGGGTGATTCTTTCTGGACATCCTTCTCCAGGACATGAATATCACTGTTCTCACTTTCTTTCGCCATAATGGATGAGGCCAAAAGGAGAGGGGAGATGATCAGATAAATAGCATCAGATAAGATTGAACAGGATCACAGTGTCATTGCGACGTCGGCAAGTGCGCCTCTGATTTTTTCCACCTTTCGGCGGTTTCCTCATTTTTTCCCTTTTCTTCTGCCGGTCTCAGCCCTACAGGGCGAAGTGGAGAAAAGACAAGCCTTTGCTCCACTTACTTTGGTGTCTGCCTATTTTTCTTTTTCTTTTTCTTTTCTCTCTTTTCTATTTCGATTTTCTCCTCTTATTGTGGTTTTTTTAACTCAATATGTTGGAGTTTAGAATAGTAATTTTTGACGACTATATGACTCTGGTACTCTGTATAGGGGAACCAGACAAGAATCTGCCGGTCCAGCCCTAACCGGCTAAACTCTAAGCTTTCCCAGACCCATAGCTCATTTCCTCGGCTGATTGGCCCAGTTAAGCATTAATTCACGCATACTGTGGAGTCCCTGCGAGTTCTCCCGATTTGATATTCTGGCTGAATGGGTCTCACAATCATATATCCCCTCTGGTCGTGTACATTCCCATTTTCGTAAATCATAAAATGAAATAGAAATCTTAATATATACGATATAAATGGAGGAATACTCGTAGAGAAAATTGACCTCACACGATCAAATCCTCCTCCACCACCGAGACACGCACCTTAATGCCCCATCCATCCCGTCCACCAATCCAGTTCTTGCGCTTACCCACCTTCTGGATCCGTTGCACGTCATGCTCCAGCTCCTCTTTCAAATGAGTAGGATCATAAGCGACCTTTTGAACGGATATGGTTAATTCCAATCCATCTTTATTGCCTTTCTTCCCAAGCCCAGTCCGCCACTCGGCCCGGGGCAGGATCCGAGGTTTCGAAGTATCGACTGATCCGGTCGGGTAAAGCTGACTGAGCACGAGCCCCAGCTTACCCAGATAACGGGTCCACCACACTTCCTCGGGGGTAAGGATGCCCTGCAGGTGGGTCTTGAAGCCCATGTCTCGGGGTGGTAATTCTCCGCCATAACGCTCCTGCAGCATGAGGGCGAGCAGCGCCCGGTGCGAGTGGGGGATGCCGTGGGTGGACGCCAGAATGCCCGTGCTGGTGCTGAACATGGCGGCACTGGAGGAGAGTTCCTTGGACATGGTGGAATGATAATAGAGAACATTCACAAAGGCCTGCACCAGGTGCAGACTGATGGAGGAGGGGAAGGATCGGGTGGCGGAGGGTCGGGGAAGAGCAGCCAGGATCAAAGCTGCAAGGGCCTGCGCTGATGTAGGTGCATATCGGGCCGTGGCGACCTCCAAAGGATCCTGCTGCCGAACGACCGGGAGCATCTCTCGGAACAAGACACCCTCGCGCACTCCACCTTGGCAGAAATGGGCCTCCTTGATCCCATGCGGTAACGACTCGGCTAGGGTGTTCACTAGGAACGCCACAGAGGGAACCTGCTTGCGCCGCCTATCAGAGACGCGGAAGATCTCGTGTGCAGTCCGAGCTATCTCCTTGAGGGCCTCGGTGTCTTCAAAGTCCTTCTTGGGCGCCGTATACCCATTGATGATGGAGATGGGGTAGTTGCGCTTTTTGGTCTGGTGGAGGTACAGCAAAAGATAACCCCATCCACGGAACCCGCCTCCAGAGAGATACAGAGGGAATCCACCTTGCTGCTTGGCCTTTTTCACCAGGTGCTCTGGAACCTCGATCTTCTCAAAGGCAGCGCGGAAATTATCCGCCATCTCTTTACGGAACTCCTCCCGAGCCTTGTGGGCCTCCTCTTTGCTCTTATCCCGTTTCAGATCGGCCAATTTCTGCGTCAGTGCGGCTGCTCCATAGGGAAAACTGACCGATCCCTGCGGACTCATCTGCACATTGCCAGCATGAGAAGCGATCCATGTCATTTGCATACTGCCACCACCCAGATCCAGAGCAAGTCCCTCCACATCTGAGAAACTGCTAGCAATTCCCCACGCACCAATGACACCTTCCTCCTCCTTCCGTAATGCCTGGACCAAAATCCCGGTCTTCAAACGAATCGCTTCAATGAACTCAGAGGCATTGATCGCAGTCCGAGTCGCTTCCGTCGCAATGATACGTATATTCTGTTGAGGCACTCCGATCTCAACACAGACAATCTGGAACCGGACTATAGCACTGACAACCCTGTCAATGATGCGGCGGGGGATGGGAATTCGAATTCCAGTGTTGGGATCGACTTGGGCTTCGAATAAGGAGATGTCGACCCGGTGGAAGTGCGCTGTGGGTATGACTCGAGTGCTTGGGGGTGCAAGATCGGAAATTGAACAGCGGATGCCATTGCTGGGGTATTCAGTCAGTGTACTCGATGCGGTTGGAGGGGCAAAGGAACCACATTTACCTGCCGAGATCGACCACCGCGTGGAGGAAGATGTTCTGGCCTGGTTGACTGAGGACTGTCTTGCTGCTCATTGGTATAGTCTCTCCTCCACCCATGATGATTGTAATTTTGGACAATTGCACCTGGGCAAGGTGAGATGTTCTCGGAAAGTCACTGGGCGCCTGACATCATGGCTGACCGCTTGGTATTCTGCCGTGGATTTCTCCTCCGCTGGCTGACCGCCTCGGAGGCTGATTGACGCATATCACAGAGTCCAAGTGTTCATCATGTTTTCAGGGCTTGTGTCTCTCCTCTAGGGGCTGGCAGGAGCGAGATGCTCCAATTTTGCTCTCTTATGCTATCAATTACGGTGCACGATGATTTCATTTCACATATCAAATGATTTGATTCATGACAACACGGGTCTACTCTATCACGTCAAATCATTATGATTTCAAAGTTTGACATACAGGAGTGAGATGTAATTCTCAGTCACACCCAACTCGATTCAAATAGAGATGCAATGCATCAATGGCGAGTCGAGCGGTTTACCAGCCAAAACACATACACTTCAACCCATGATTATGACCTTACGCGAAAACATCCCCACTGAGAATATCGGCCCGGGTCCCAAGGTGGAACAATGGGATATGTTCTCTTGGTGCTGGCACAGTCACCGTCTGACCTCCAGAGTAGGTCTCATTCGACCACCAGTAGGTCCATGGCTTCGAGTCCCCACCTGTCTGCGGCAGGTAGACAGACCATTCCGTCACATTCGGTGTTGTCACAGGGCTCACCAACAACTTCGGACCGAACATATACTGCTGGGTTGTGGTATTGGCGTTCAATCGAGTCCACGCCGCGATCTGAGGATCAGACTTTTCGAAGTCCATATACAAGGGACGCATGATCATCCGACCAGTCTTGTGGAGTTGATCAAAGACCGCGTGCAAATAGGCAGAGAGCTGATACCTGAGGTGGATATAGGAGACCAAAATTGGGGTATTCTCCGATCCATACGACCAAGGCTCGTTTGCACATGTATAGGCGTTCTGGAAATCACACTTCCGGGTGCCGTGTGTACGCATGAATGGCACGAACGTCGTCCACTGGAACCACCGAACGTAGAGCTCGCGATACTCCGGTGTGTCGATATTAGCACTCCACGGCACAGTGGGATCTGCTTGGAACCCGCCTGCATCTAGGGTCCACCAGCCCCAGCCGGTCGCGGCTGCAGAGAGCCCACTTGCGATCTGCGCGCCGAGGGTCTCCCACACTGATGTGATGTCGCCGGACCAGATCATGCTGCAGAATCGCTGGGAGCCGATGTATCCGGATCGACTGAGGGATATGTGGTCACAGGGTGATCCTACTTCTGTTGTGGTTGCATTGCGGAATCCTTCTTCGATGGCTTGCTGGTGGGCCCATGGATAGAGCTTTCCCACACTGCGCTGTGTGCCGGCCGCATACAATACATCCGGCACGGCGAACGGCAGAGACTGGATGTAGGTGCTCTGGCCATTATTCTCATACGCCTCACCGAGCGCACCACCGTCAGCCTGGTCAATCCAGAAATTCTTGATGCCTTTGTCGAAATAGTTCTTTTTCAAGGTATTCCACAAGAACCGACGTGCGCCAGGGTTTGTCGCATCATAGTTGCGGATGTACGACCCATTCCAGGAGTCCGTCGTACCAGGTCCAGACCTAGTCGCAGACAAGAACCCTTGAGCCATCATCTCCAGATAATTGACACTGTCATCGGCAACACTGGGCCAAAGCGAAGCCATCATTTCGGCACCGGTCAGATCCTTAACTTTCTTAGCCATCTCCGCCACATCAGGCCACAGGTTGGGATCAAGTCCCCAATCACCCTGATGGGCCCAAGACTGGTAATCGATGACGATCATGGATACAGGAATATCATGATCGTGGAAATCTTGTGCCAATTGGATGACCTCGCTTTGATTCTCGTATCGAAGTTTGGACTGGAGGTATCCCAACGACCATTCAGGCGGCGTGGGTGCGCGGCCGACCAGAGCAGACAATCGTTGCTGAAGCTTGTCGTAGTCACCTGGATCGGATGCCACGACCACATAGTCAACCACCGAAGCAGCATCTGCAGTGAATTTATTTCGCAGCGGGCCGAATTCCATGCGACCAGTCGATGCCATGTTCCAAATAAACCCATAACCCTTATTACTCATGAAAACAGGGGTTGGGATATGTGTGTTGAAATTGACCAGATCAATCGTGAGTCCTTTCTTATTAACAAGATGATCCTGTTGAGTCCCCGTGCCATAGATCTGTTCATCAGGCGTGGTGCTGAACGAGAATTCAGCAGCAAACTCGCTCCCGGGACCAGTCCACGAATAATATCTCGGATTGATTGACTTGAGCGGCGCATACTCGTTGGTGAGCAGAGTCTCCGAGCCATTGGATTCAACTCGATAAAATGCAAGACGATAGCCACCAGGATTACCACCCCAGCCAGATGTACGGACGAGCATATTGCCATTGCGCAACTCCTCGGATCGATTGCCGGTGAAAGCCGTATCAAACTTCATGCCATGTGCCTCTCCATCCTCAGGTCCGTCAAGGGGTGGATCATAAACGAAGCCGACCTCTTGTCCCGTTGGCGCTTTATAAGGCCAAGCTCGTACTCTAAAGCCATCGTATCCGAAGGGTTGGACAAGAACGGTTTCAAATCCGTGCTGCATACGGAAGCCCTTTGATTCTGGTTTGTGGTAGGTGCTTGATTGCACCGGTGAGGCTGCTGAGCCCAAAGCCCAGCTGGCACAAAGAGAAAGCAGTGCGAGCCGCATTCTGGATTAATGAGCTTGCTGAGCAGGACAACTTGCTGGTCATTCTGACTGGTTTTTTAAGCTAATGGCTGTATGGTATTTAGGCTGAATCACTATTCCAGTCCGGAGACCCCGCGAGAGACGTCACATCGTCTGGTGATCTACATCAATAGATGCCATGTTGACGGAAGTAGACGGGTAGGACGGAGGAGGGGTCAGGGACGAAGTGCATATGGTACGGTATGATGTAGTACGCACAGATCGGGGGGCAATGGCCCGAGAGAAGGCCGATCAGCACCCTGCAGATCTTTTCTTTTGTCGTATCTAAACCACATAGTGTGGGATGGGAGTACGAGTAGTATTTAGATCGGGGTACTCCGCGAGTGGAGTCGCCCAGGAGGTAGACCTCAGCCATGAGGAGCTTGTCTGTGGTGGCTTTTTTCCAAGGTTCACGGTAGCTTTAATTTGGGGGGTCTGTTCTAGGAATGAATACGATTGGCTTATGTCTGCCAGTTGAAATGTTGAAATCCTTGCGGCGTGGGGGATGCAAGGAATCGCTGGGCGCGATATAACTCGTGGATGATTTGTTCCGTACTCCGTATAGTCGGCCATTGCGTTGAGTTCGGAATGACCACAATATCTCAGAATGTCAGGAGATTAATGATCACTTCAAGGTTCGAATTATCAAGTTCAGGAGCTTGTTCTGACTGTGGGAAAAACCAAAGAATCTCAAATGTGTCCATTCTAAAGTTGCTCTCGCAATGCTGCTTTTTCCCTTGAGAGAAACGGTGTGTCAGGCATCAACTGCAGCCTTAGGCTTCCATTTTGGGGGTCACATGACCCAGGCAATCAGATCTTCAAATGTACGTCTATAAAGGCCTTTGGGTACTTCTCAGGTGCTTCTGAGTCAGATTTGCATCTTTATACTAATCGTATTCGGCAAGTGGAATGTACGCATGACTTCTACGGATCCTCATGCTGGGTTGTTTCGGTTGTATATATTCATCCGGCACTGCCGTTAAGATTGAATTTTCCTGAAGCGTTGGTACTTGATAGGCAGGATCCGAGAAGACCAGACTTTACCGCGGTTGTCAAGATACAAAACAAGAAGTGATTCAAATCCATACTTAAGTAGATCTATAGATATCCTGAGGATGTTCAAATCAGAGAAATCGGACCAACGCAAAGCCCCGATGCTTTCACGTGGCATCATTATCTAATCAATCCGATCAGATAAGATGGGAGCATCACGAGTTTTCGACCAAATGACCATCGTCTCCGCTTGATTTCCGTTCCTTTCTTCCGTATTCCTCTTCCTCACCCCCCTAGCGACTCCCAAGTGTACAAATTCACCTTGCCAACCTGATTCCTGGCCACCATCCCACCACAGACTCGATCCAGGGTTCAGAGACTTCCGATCCACATGGGCCCACATTGATTGCGATTATCGGCGGTGCTCCGCCCATTCTCACCCGTTTCTCTCAGACGACAATCCGGGGTGTCACCATGTTGCTCGGTTGGCTGCTCGTCGCATGCGCCCAGGGCGTATGGGCGAACACTCCCAAAGACGAGCTGTGCGTCACCGCTGTGTTCTCGGCATACAACTACATCTCATTTGCCGGGACTCCGCCCAAGCCGTTGTGGCATTCGCGATGCCGCAACGCACTCAAGGTCACCTCCATATATGCCGCGTCGGAGGTATACTGCAGTGAGCAAGCGCGTGCACAAGGTCTGGCCGAACTGGCGGATCAGTGCCGAGAGTTCGGACATGAGGAGCTGCTATCGAGGGATGAGGTTGCGGAAAATTTGACGGAGGATGCGATTCGGAATATGAGGAGAGTCGACTATCTGGAGTTATCACGAGCTGATCCCGTCGATGTTCCGGTTCTTCTGTCGGCGACTTATTATGATCTGATGTTCAATACGCTTGTGAGATATCTGAGATTCCTGGAACTGGATTTTTTCTGACCGCTGATATAGGATTCTTGGGAATATGTTTCCTGGGCACATCATGCATTCGGGTGAGCATTCAAACCTTCATGGGGTACATGGGTTAGAACTAAGCACTGACCGTTCAGATATCTTGGCTACGCGTACTGGGGGATCATCTTGTCACTGGGCATGATATCCCGATTATGCATTTGGGCATTCCATCGCCGGCGAAGCCCAAAGGAAAGATCACTTGAGTCAAACGTGTACCCTTTCGTTGGGACCCTGGAGAAGCTCCCACTGGTGGGAACATGTCTCCACTGGATCCAAACCCATATCATGATTCCGGCACCGTTGGCAACCCGGAAATGCATCCTAGGCTTCACATTCTCCACCAGAGCCGAAGCACTGATTGTGCTGGGATTTTGGGTGCTGAGCATAGTACTCAGTGTGGTCGGCTATCGGACCTTTCCAGACAATATCTAGTACGTCCCAAGCCATGGTTTCGGCATGAGCAATACTGACAATCCCAAGTTGGCCTGATATCCCCAGCCAGCTGTTGCGATACTCCGCAGATCGTACAGGCATCATGTCATTTGCAAATTTTCCACTTGTATGGCTCTTCGGTGGCCGAAACAATATCTTCATGTGGGCGACTGGGTGGAGTTTCGCGTCGTTCAATATATTCCATCGACATGTCGCTAGAGTGGCTACACTACAGGCGGTGGTGCACTCAGTATTATACATTGTCATGTACATTCAAGGTGAGTCTTGCACTTTCGCTGGCAATGTAACTATTAACGCCTGTTTTAATCATCAGCAAACACGCTATGGAAAGGCTTGTCCAAAGCCTATGTTTTATGGGGCATATTGGTAAGTTTCGTGGTCTTTTTTTCCAAAAAAAAAAAGTATCTCACATCAAATAATAGGGGACAGCAGTGATGGTTCTGCTATTGATCACTTCATTGGATCGAATTCGCATTGCGACATATGAGCTCTTTTTGATTGCCCATGTCGTGCTTTCAGTGCTTACACTCGTTGGGTGTTTCTAGTGAGTGATCTGACTCAATCCCTCTTCCTCCTCAACCCTCCTAACAACCTCAGCCATACTATCATCTTCGAAGGACACGAATATTGGCAGTATCTATGGCCTTCGACGACAATATGGGTTGCAGATCGCTTCCTGCGGATTGTGCGGCTTTGCTATTGCAACCTCCATGTGAGCATTTCAAATAAAAGGCTGGTCAAGTCTTCTGCGACGCGAATGGCCTATGACAAAGCAGCCGACGTGGTACGAATGGAGATCACCCCGGCTACACCGTTGTTGCAGCCTTCACCTGGACAGTATTTTTTCCTGTATCAGCCATTCCGGCTAACTGGATGGGAAAGTCACCCGTTCACAATTGGAGCATGGCATTATGAAGCAGGGGACATGACTTCGTTGGCAGCAGCACTCACGCAGAATTTAAACAACACCCAGGATGTGTCCCATGTACCTCTTCTTGCGGGCGGGTCAAATGACACAGAATACCAACACAATTGGGCCAAAGATGCCACGAAAGACACCAAATCAATGGAACTGAAGATGATCTTCTGGGTCCGACCGTACGACGGATGGACACGCGAGCTGCGCCAGCAATGTCTACGCTCACCGAATCTCACAACCAACACAACCGTGCTACTCGAAGGTCCTTATGGCGATACCTTCCCTTTATGGCGATACGAATCAGTGTTGATCATCGTCGGGGGAACAGGGATCGCATCCGCCGTCCCCTACATCCAAGATCACCTCCGTCGCTCCGACGAAGGGGACGAAAACCCCGAAAATGAGAAAACTCGTGTGCGCGACATCGAGCTGGTCTGGACCACCAAGCAAGCAGCCTTCATTCACGACGTATCACGTCGCGAATTAAAACCTGCTTTGGCTCGAAATGACTTTAGCGCCTCATTCTACGCTACTCGTGATTCAACCGCATGTGAAGATCTTAACAATTGCGGATACGAAGTCCAGGGAGGTCGTCCCCACCTCCAATCCCTGATTATGAGTCGAGCTTGCGATGCGTCTTCGGCGGACTCAAGTCTGGCCATTCTCGTATGCGGTCCGTCCGGAATGGCGGATGAGGCGCGCGCTGCGACTCATCTTGCTATGAGACAGGGTCACCGCTCTATCAAGTTTGTCGAGGAGTCTTTTACGTGGTGAGTCTGAAGCCACATTCTGGTTTTGTGATGGATCTGCGTGGTTATAGATTTTGAGTGAGACATGATACCCATGTCGCTTGTTTTGCCTGGGTTGAATGTGTTTTGTTTGCCAAATAGATCGATAGATTGGGCCAGGTGTCTACAGCAGTGCCTTCTTGGCAGCCACAGGCAGGTTTTGACGATCCCCATTCCCCCGCCATCCTGATTTCGATCGAACTGATCGTAAGGCTATCATTCGAAGTTCCCATCCAGGAACCGGGGTTTGGCTGGTGGCTGACAGGGGTACGTTATGCACGACGCAGGAGGTTCTCACGCCAAGCGCCACACATTTTAGCGTTGATTTTGCATTTTTTAACGAATTTATCACGATTTGGACTTGGAACAAGACATTAAGAGATCATGACCTACCAAAGGTCATTGACATTTGAACTGCATGAACTACCAATATGGAATCTGGAGTGCATCAATATTGACTGAGTATACTGGAAGATGTGACTGAGACAGATCACATCGACTATTGAATGATCCACCTACCCGAGATGTCACACGGCGCAAAGAATCCCAAAAGCGTATTAGTTGCCGATGATCTTCATTAAGTGTCTCTTAGCGTCACGATGTCCGGTTTCCCCATGCATCTTACCTGCATCTGGGGAACTTTGCAGTCCGGGTCCCATCAGAACTTGAACACGTTCATGCAGGTCCAAGCCTTTCTTTTTGCTTTTTTTTTTTTTTACGAGAGCGACCACATCTCAACAATCCTTGCCAGCCAAGCTACACCTACTGGTCCAATGCAAGTTTTGTGGCCCTCATTGACTGAATGGCTGAAGATCATCCACTAACATGCGAGTTTGGATACTACCCAAAGCAATCTGGGACTTTTTTGCGCGACGACAGAGCTGAGGAAGCAAGAAAAGGGAGACCTCAAGATAGGACCAGAAGAGATATAAAAGACATGAGGTTTCCCACGGATCAATTGCTTTCTCTCCATCATCAAGCAATTTCATTTTCAAAGCCCTCCTACCACTTCTCAACCCAATCAATCAATCGCTCTTCGCGTTCTAAATCAGCAAAATGAAGTTCTTCATCCCCACTCTTTTCCTCGCTGCCACTGCCATGGCTCTGCCTGGCCACCCCGGCTCCAGCAACGAGGTCAGCCCATCCTCCGACAACGAGGTTGAGAACGCCATCAACCAATGTGGCAACTCTGGCGATCTGAAGTGTTGCAACAACGTCGACGAGACTGGAGACGTTACCAACGCTGGTCTCCTATCCAATGTTCTCGGTGGCCATGGCCTCGGTCTCGGAGATGGCTGTAGCTCCCTGAACGTTCCTGTCAATGGTAAATCGGATTCCCTCTCCTGGTGAATGGCCAAAGCTAATATTCTATAGTCATCGGTGCTGCCGGTCTCACTGACTTCCTGAAGAGCAACTGCAAGCAGCAAGTTGCCTGCTGCCAGAACAGCAACTCCCAGGCTGTAAGTTCAAACGCAAAGATGAAAGCTAAACTGTTACTAATCTCAACAGAACAACAACCTTGTCGGTGTCGCACTCCCCTGTGTCAGCTTCGGTAGCCTTCTCTAAATGGCTCGGCTGAAGGAAATCCCTTCCGTCATGGAAATACACGCAGAGACCATCAACCTTGTTACTTTCGGTGGTCTCTACGGAACGGGTTGAAACGTCTGATATAGTACATAATTGTTTGCTTGTCACTGACTTGCACTGTCTCTGGCTATGTGTATCTATTTTTATTGATAATGAGATGCCGGCCTTTAATTTCGAACCGAACTTCTCAGTAGGACAGTCCACTGTACTCCGTAGTTAAGTCAATATTGAATCTAATCTATGACTTTGGCATCCGCTGGACCTTGATCTTGCCCTCCCGCACCCCACTCTATATGGCCATAGCCATGAGCCACCAGATAGTCTTTCCACTCCTGATCCCCATGATCCAGAATAGTATCACTATCCTGAAGGACAAACCATGCCAACAAAGACCCAAGCACGGCAAATCCAGAGCCAATCAAAAATACAGCTTGGGTCCCATGAACACTGTCATCACCCCAGCTAGCCAAAATAGGCTTGAAGACCTGCGTTCCAATTGCTGCTCCAGCTTTACTCCATGCAGCAGCCAGACCCACACCGTGGCCACGAACTGCCGTGGGAAAGCTTTCACTGGCCGTGAGGACGATAGTGGCACCCGGCCCAATTTCTCCCAAAGTGAGGAAGATTCCATAAAGCACAATGAATAATGGAAGCTTAGTTTGAATCGGTCCAAGGGCTCCGCCAAGAATAAATCCAAGCATGGCTTGAAGTCCGAAGCCTAGAGCCATAGTGCGACGACGACCAATCTTGTCGGACAAGAATCCACCGATGAATGCACCTGGGATATAGAAGCAATTGATGAGTGTTCCCCATGCCATGGTCAGTGCAAGAGAAGAGGTGGGATTCACTCGTCCAACGATCGTAGACGAGAACAAGCCAAAGGGGTATGAAATATAGTTGTAACTGTTAAAGATAAAGGATTAGCGATGTTGACTTCTTTCACCTGGAGAGTACCTTGTACCCAGCAACTCACATAAACCACGAGCCACAAACACCAATCAAAGGCCGCCAGTACTTTTTCAGTACCAACCAGTATGGAATCCGTTGCTTTTTCATAGAGCTCTTGCGATAGGCAGAGCTCATAACCATCTTATATCGGAACCAAAAGATAGAAAGCGGAGGAATTGCACCCATGGCCAACGAAATTCGCCAAACAGCTTCATAGTGCCTCACCTGTTGATGGAAGCACAGCAAGAGAATCAATGGCACGAGCGCACCGAACGCAAATCCCAGGGAAGCCGACAAGTCTCCGATCATGGCAAAGATAAAACCTCTGCGCTTACGCATTCCCGGCGCCTCATCTGTAGCTTCGGCTGCACCAGCACCGGCAACGGGATACTCTCTGCAAGTTGTCAATCGGGATCGAAAGGAGAAGTCAAGATTGAAGTGACACTTACCCTCCTGCACCAACACCCGCAACACCACGAGCTATAATCAGCATCCAAAACATGCCATTCTCGGTAATTCCGCTCGCGCCGGCACTAAGGGCAATCCCCAATACCAGAAGTATGGTGGTCAGGACAGCGCCCGTTTTGCGACCCAATTTATCTGAAATATAACCGAAGGATAACATGCCGATGATCATTCCGACCATAAAAGCATTCGATAGTCGAGCGGCAACGGCTGTCGTGAGTGATTCCGGGTAAATTACCCCCATGATGAGTTCCAAATTGCCAATAATCGAAGCATTGAATCCATCTGATCCAATAGCCAAACCACTGAAAATCACCATGAAGACCATGGAGACTCGGGAATAACCCCGATCAGAAGGATTGGTCACATCTGCGACTTCGACTTCCGGTACTGGCGACACATCGGTCTGAGGATCTGTTTTATCAGTTTTTTTCTCCGCGCCCTCACGCATCTCAATTGGATTCATTTCATTCATTGCGAAAACCCTTCACTGTCGATAAGCATTCTGGGCGCGGCCTGTATATAAGTCCCGACGGATAGGCCATAGGCTCTATCGCACCAATCTAGATGCGGGGTCTTGAATGCCGGTGGAAGCTAACGGTAAAAGGCATGATTCGACGCTAACAGCGACGAATGGGGCAAAAGAGCGACAAGGAGGCCATCAAGGAAGGCCTACGCGAGTATCGGAGCGGAGAAAGATAGCCTGCAAGATACAAAGGGGTCGCGGATTGGCCCGGCATTCTTCCCTTTCGTATCTTCGCAATGTCGAAATTATCCTGGGAAAAGCCCCCTCAGCGTGGCTTTTCGGGTCTAACCTGTGCCATTGCTTCTATTTTTTGTTTGGCGACCGGATATTATTACGGACGACAGGAATCGTCGCACGATGGCTCTTTAGCAGTGCAGACTTCGGTCGTTGGAAATCTGCAGAAATGCGCAATTGACAATTTGCTGGGCACGGGTTTGCCGTTCTTGGAAAAAGCTTCGCCTATTTCTCTTGCTGATTTTGAGGAGCGTCGAGATCGCCTGGCAATTGCACTAGTTGCTGAGGATGTCGACGCTTTTGTTGTCGAGCCGGGCTACACTTTCAAATACTATGGCAATGTGAGCCAGCCAGAATGGGAAGTGTGGGAGGTAAGACAGACTCACTAAATGAAGAGATAAAATACTCAAGACTATGTGTATAGCCCGAGGAACGCCCTTTTTTGATGATCGTCCACCCTCAGCAGGATGAGCATGGCACTGTAACTGCCAACACCACCTTTCTCTGCCCTTCATTTGAAGCAGAACGGGCTCGTCTTCTCGGCATGCCCTTCGATGGACCTATTCAGATCGTCCCATGGGAAGAGCATTGGGATCCATATGCCACACTCCAGCAAGCGAATGTATTCAACTCCCAAAGACCGCCTCGGCTGATGGTCGATGAAGAGATGCGTGATTTCATTCAACGAGGACTCGGAACTGCTGGATTCGAAATCGTGGGTCTCAGAGGGCAAGTCGAAGAAGTGAGACAGATCAAGAGCGCCAGCGAGGTTGAGATCTTGCGCGCAGTCAATACGGGGACTGTTGAGGCAGTTCGGCAGATCAGGAAATGTAGGAGTTGATTTAATTTTTCGTTGTTGCGATGCTAAGCGATGCAGGTTTATACCCCGGACTGACGGAGAATGACATTGCGGTCGCTCTCGACAATGCCTTGCGGGCGGTTGGGATGGAGCCATTCTTCGATATTGTGTTGTTTGGTTTGTTTTTGCATTCTTCATTCTTCACTTTGCTACATTCTAACGGTTCTAGATGAAAATGCTTCCAATCCTCATGGAGGAACTAATGGCTCTAAAGTGTTGGAGCCAGAGACTTTCGTTCTTATTGATGTTGGGTCAGTAGATCCAGTCCAATCCATGTAAAGCACTGATTCTAACAGCATGAAGAGCCCATCTCTATGGATACTCTTCGGATATCTGTCGCACCTTCTTCCCGCCATTCCTTGAGAAGCCGTCTGACGATGATACCTTGTCAGAGCGCATGAAGGAAAAGCTCCAAGTGAGTGACCATTTATTTTTAAAAAAAAAGGATCCTACTAACTCAAAAGGTCTGGGATATTGTCTTCGAGGCACAAACTCAATCCATTCACCGAATGCGAGAAAACGCGACCGCGGCCAGTGTCGATATCGCGGCTCGGGAGGTCATTACTGAAGCCGGGTATGGCGAGACCTTCACCCACCGCGTTGGCCACGGAATTGGGATTAAAGGCCAGTAGCATGCTTTCAAGTCTCTCGGAATGAAACACTTGCTGACTTTAAATAGCCCATGAAAGCCCATATCTCAATCAAGGTAACGTGAAAAGCCTACTCAAAACCGGAATGACATTTACCTCTGAGCCTGGAGTGTACTTGGTCGACAAATTTGGTGTCCGACATGAGGATGTGTTCTTAGTTCAAGGTGATGAGGAGCCTGTTCTTTTGACAGGAACTCGTGCCGGTGGACCTTGGGATCCATGAGTCGATCATTGAAGACAATTTTACACACATGCATTGGGACTATTTAAGTCCTCCATGAAAAGACAAGTGATCGATTTCAACATACCGTCTAGCTGATATATCAAGTAAAATGCAAATCACTTCAACTCGAGCCTGATGGCATCGTATTGAACATAAACAGTTGCTGGGAGGATAGCAGTCTCAGTATCCGTTGCATTGTGAGGCAAATGCAAGCGCAGCACATTATCACCCGCCTTCAACCAATCCGCTGGGAATTCCATCTTTGATCCAACCTGGTAACAACTAACCGCAGAACGCACAATACAGCTGCTGGACTGGTTGAACCCAATGACAAAGGTGAGAGGGTTCTTCTCGTCATTGATGTAGCTTTCCAAGGAGAGATTGTTATATGGCTCTGCGGGATTCCACACATCGGTATTACCTGCCGCAGTCTTCGCACCTGCCAGCTGAATGGTCAAAGTTGCAGTCTTGCTCTTCTTCAGTTGCTTCGAGTCGAGCTTGAAATTGATGGTCCAATCGTTCGTGGTGTCATATTCAATATGTGAGTCTTTAGAAGTCGGCCCAAAGACCGACCAGTGGGCCGTGTTCAAGTCCTTGGCGGGATCGCTGGTACCAATGGTATAGTTGACGCCATCGGGGAAGTCAGCACGCCAGTCATAAGCACCCCAGTAGATAAGGTACTCAGGGGGATTGAGCGAGTGTGTTGAATCTCTGGCATTGCCGCGTCTGAATTCACCAGAAGACTTATCAGGGACTCCAATCCTCCAGACCTCAGCCCCTGCAGATTCCTGCTTCCAAGTCTTGTTTATGGTGGCCTGCTTTCCTGCACGGATTGTAATTCCATCCTGAACAAAGTCGCCGAAGATACCCTCCGCATAGACGGTGAGTCGGTATTTGCCCTCTTTGACACGTTCGATGCTGAATGTTCCGTCTTTGTTGATATCTGTCCAGTATTGGTAGGAACTTGGGACCGCGCTGTTATCTTGGAAGTACTGTCCATCAACTGACAAGATGGCAATAGGGCGTGTAGCGCCTTTGGGAAGCTTGATGGTTCCCTTCACACTGCCTCGTTTACTGGAAGGGGCGTACCCGACGACGTGCTTTGCGATGGAGTCGTAGAATGCAGAGTTCCAGTGAGGGTTCGCTAGAGCTTCAGCCTCAGATCGCAGCTCTTCGAGTGAGGCTGAGCCCTTGCCGCCGTTGAAAAGATAGAATTGCGGGCCGAAAGTTCGGTCAAATCCATTGGTGATGTTTGGTGTGCCCTCTCCGTGGTGGTTCGAAACAATGTAATTGTAAACGATTCCATCAACTGTCAGGTCAGAATGAAGTGGACCCTGGAATAGATTAGCGTTTGGAATTCAGGGTTGCGTAACAAACATACACCGTAGTAGGTATCCTAAAGATCATGTCAGCATTTTCAACGAGTTTCAAGCGGTTTCCGAACGGGTTGTTTGACTGACCTTGGTGTTCATCACCATCCACGCTCCGTAAGTTGCACCTTTCGAGGTGCTGCCATCGGCATAGAGACCATGCACACTGTTGTTTCTCCATTCTATAGTAAATCATGTTATTACCAGTGCATCAAGAAACAGGGAACGGGGTCAAGGGCTGATCATACGGTTCGAGAAAGTGTATTTCGTGAAATACTCGGAGAATTGAGTGTAGTATGCATCAGTGGGTGTATTGTTGAATGTCCACGTCGCATCTTGAACAACGATCTGCTTAGAGATAGCCTCTTTGCTCGGGAGAGGCGCAGTTTGAACATCACTAGACGTCAAATGCGTCCAGAGATCAGTGTTAGGACGGAACAAGGTTCGGAACTCTTGCAGATTGCGCAAGAATGGAGTGGTCTCGTTGTGGTAAGCCAATCGACTGAACATATGCAAACCGGTCTCGCCATCGCGCAGGAACCAATATTGTTGGAATTGTTGCCCTGTTGGGGTATAGGTGTCCGTCAAAATCATGCCACCGTATTTTGTCCCGGTTGAATCGGTGCCTTGCACGACTTCCATGCTGGGGCTTGTGGCACCGGCTGTGTAAAAGCCCGATGGAATGCAATAGCAATCCAGGTAGGGGCCAATTCCGGTGGATCCGGATTGAACTCCGAGCAAGTCCTGGCCATCCAGGGTAAGATCAACGATCTGGCCGGCGCTCCTCTTGAGCACAGCTGTGAGGCGGTCATTTCCAAGAGTAATGTAAGTTGAGTTCTCGACAACTTGTAGAGCCGCGGTGGCGCCAGCAGCCCACCCCAAAAGGGTAGTTAGAGATGCACGCATGGTGTTTCTCGGGATGTTGGGTGCCAATGTATGGGCGAACTGTATCGATCATCCCGGTGAGCCCCTGGGACTTATGTATACACGAAAATAGTGTCATTTTAACACGGGAATCAATACACCGAGCCAGCGAAGTGCCCGAGGCCAGTAGCAATATACTACATCTGATCAGGCACGGGGTGTTGGAGTTCCGCCAATTATCTGGGGTCATCGGCTGAAAGCTCAAGTGGGATATCCAATCATCACCGTGCTTGTCAAGATGCCAAGGAAATTCATAGAAGGCTAAGGGGGTTCTCTCCGTAAGCTCATCAGCCGAAGTCTGGGGATATGCGGGGTTGCCAACGGAGAAATTCCTCGGCTGTCGCTCGCCCGACTTCGTCAACTCCCAATTTCAACCATCTTTGATAAAAACCGTGGATAGGAACATTGAATTCTTTCTTGTGACGCCAAATATTCTATATCAACCCGATGCGACCATCGTGGAATGAAGAAAGAGAAAGTTGGATGTTCCGTCGGAGCTGAATCCGGAAAAATCAAAACTCGCCAGTTGTCGACTTAAGCAGGGAAAATATGAGACAATCAAATGCAGACTTCGGTGATTGACGGCTGTTTCTGTTATGATGAAGCCATTTTGACTGATAAAAAGCGACTGTTGTGCTTGAGCCCCGGGGGGTAGCCGCGACTGGCATGTCGACGTCCAGGAGGCAACATCGACTTGACAGAAGTCATGTATCGCCACTGATTACATGGCCAGAGTCAATCCGACCGAGTCACCTGTGTGTTTCATCGACATCCAATAACCCGGACAGACCGCAAAGGTCATTCATTCGATTCGGGGCCCATTTCGGGAATCCGGGTCACATCCCGAACATCTGCCGGAGTGAGGTCCGGACTGCACCTTGCTAACCTCGGGGACGAGGTGGATCGGCAACATTAGTGCGGAACTGAGTCAGTTTACACATCACAGATTGGAGCCTGGTCGGCAATTGCTCCAATGAAAGATCCCCTGGATCTAAAAGATGTCAAAGTGCGGCGTCACTCCGTCGCCAAATGCCCACAGGACATCCGAACCATATCCACCCCCATGGGGTGAGATCCACGGGATGGGATCCAGTCGAGATTTAAGATTGCTCTTTTGCACTGGAATTCTGGCCAGAACTTTTTCAATCAGCTTTCCAGGGGCTCTATTGTTCCTTGCTCAAAGCGCTTTTCGGCACGTTTCAGCAACAACACATAGCCTGCCATAGTGGGACCCTCCCTCCTTGCATAATTGAAGACAGGTCAACATTTCCTGCGGCTAGCTCAAGATGATCGAGAAAACAGAAAGCGACTCCAATCGTGGAGAACGAGGAAGCAACGAGATCAAAAGAACCGGGTCTGAGATGTCAGAACACCTAGAGAACATCGGTGCCACTTCTCCGGCGAGCATCTCAGATGACGGCGTATGCGACAATGAATCACTACAGAACCCCCGAAACTGGCCCCATTGGAAGAAAAACGCTCAGATCTTGATGGTGGCCTTCCATTCCATGATGGGAACCTTTATGGCGGCCGGAATCGTCCCGGCATACGACGCATTCGCTGAAGAGTATGGTGTCACAGTTCCAGCTGCCAGTTATTTGACTTCATTCCAGGTATGTCATGCTTAACCGATTGACTGCAGTGGTGAGACTATTGCTGACCTGAAGAAACTTCATACAGATCTTGCTCTTAGGTCTCTCGCCTCTCATTTGGAACCCAGTCACCGCGGTATACGGCCGTTACCACGTCACATTGCTTTCCGTACTTGGCAGCATGGTATGCAATATTGGCGGCGCACGATGCACCTCGTATGGTGCCCAGATGGCCACCAGAGTGTTGACGGCTATTCTCATCTCCCCGCCCATCGGCAATGGCAGTGGAGTAATCACAGAACTATGTGAGCCCGAGCACCGAGGAAAGAAGATAGGTTGGTGGACATTGATGACAACTATCGGGACACCCTGCGGTCCATTCTTCATGGGATTCGTGATCAAACACATTGGCGTCCAGTGGATCTTCTGGATCTTCGCGATCGTCAACTTCTGTCAATTCTTGATGTACCTTGCCATTGGCGACGAGACGATCTACAACCCCGAAAACGAGCGCAAAACAACCGGATTCTGGAGTAAGCTGATCCCACGAAAGATCAGCTCCAAATCCCTGCGGCCTCAAGACATCGTCGCGCCATTCTCTTTGGTTCAGCATCCACGAATCCTCATCGCTGCATTTGCCCATGCCATCACCTTCTGCTATGCCAACATCGCCATCATCGTCGAAATGCCAATCGCATTCGGAGAAAAGTTCCACTTCGATGCTCAGCAAATCGGACTGCAGTTCATCGCAGTCATTATCGGATGTGTGTTGGGAGAACAAGTCAGTGGACCTATGTGTGATTGGTTCATGGGACGGGTTCGCAAGTCGCGCGGTCATTCTTACCCGGCTGATCGTCTTTGGCTTTCATATATTGCTTTCGCAACAATTTTTGCTGGCTTGTTGACTTGGGGATTCCAATTGCAGCATGCTACCACTTGGAATGTGACTCCCTGCGTTGGAGCCGCGATTGCCAGCTTCGGTAATCAAATGCAGACCACCATTCTCACTACATTTGCGGTAGAGAGCAAGAAGGAAAGGGCAAGTCAAGTTGGCGTTTTTGTCAATGTTTGCCGACAGATCTATGGATTCGTAAGTTCCAACCCTGCAACCTTTCCACTGCGCATCAACATACTGACGTTCCATACAGCTTGGTCCTTTCTACTTCCCGGACATGTTCGCTGCCCTGGGATTCGGTGGAGCGGCTGGTGTGATGGTGGCAATCATCGCCGGATGTGCCTTACTACCGACAATCGCAGTGCAATTTGTCTCGACGCGGATTGACTCCCGCTGAGTGGCCCCAATGGAAGGTCAATTGATGGAATCTGTTATTTATGAATGCGTTGCTCCTTTCTGAATTTCCATTCCACGTCAGATAGACAAATACTTAGGTATATACTAAATTTAAGTTTGGTCACAGGGGTGGACTGAACATACTCTGTGATACCCCTGTAGATCAAGAGTAGATCAAGACTTCCAAGGATGTGAATATGTGTTGAGACGACTTACGATCGCTAGTAAAGATTGCTCGGAACACTGTTCAGCCAAGACATATCTTGGAAGTCAGGGAACTCGAAGCTGTCTAGTATAGACGCATTCATTCCTTCTCCGAATGACATGTCGCCAATTGCAGCAGAGGCTTCTTCTCCCGCCTCATTTCGGGGTTCTTGGTGACCGGGGGGCACATCCTCGGACGCCACTTGTTCGTAAAGAATCTCAAGTGCTGCAACGCAGCGTCGAGCAGATGTGCTGTAGCTCTGGTACTTCTTCAATATCTCCAGTGCCTGATTCCAGGATTGTGTAATGGATTCTTCCATAACTTCGGCAAGAATTGCCGAACATAAACGGCCGGCTATTAGCACGGTCGCAGAAGTATAGACGTCTAATTCAGTCAGCTTCTGAAAACAAGGTGAAGAAGATTTTACGAACATAGAACATTGTACCACCATGCAGGCAACGGTCCGCCAGTTCCATCAGTGGGCACGTTGTTGTAGATCAGCTGGATAGATTCTTGGGCTGCTTTGACACATATTATGGAACACTGCAATGCAACGCGGTGGGGAAAAGAGTCGTGTATCGGTATCAACGAGTCACTGGTTGTGTTGTCTCGAATAGCGCAATATCGGGACAGAGTTGGCCGAAACAAAAGGATTCGCACGTGGAGAAACCTGAAGTGACAATATGGTAAGCCTATGTATAGGCCAAGGCGGTATTAAGGAGTTGTCACTCACCTTGCACGCAGTACAATGCTTTGGCGACAAAATATTGGATTCGCAGAAACTGACGCCGAGTCCCCGCGCAAGTGGTCTGGAAGGGTTTTCGTCCATCGGCTAAGGCAGTGATCCAGTTCAAATATGGTCCGTTCTCCCCCGCCTGTGATATTATTAAAATAAAAGTTGTGAATGTCTTCGCCACTAGAGTCAGTTGAAGGATCATAGAGGCTCTCGAGTACATCATTCATTATGTCGTAAAGCTCCAGGGTCTTCCCGAAAAATGCCATCATTGAAGGTCGATCAGCGGGCTGGGAGGCCTCTGACCCTGACTCGGGCGGAATGAATTCTTCGTCAACGGCAGCCGGTAGAGGAACAGCTCCACTGGCAGCCTTGGTGATCATAGCTGGGCGACCGAATGTCATGGATATGACCCTGTGGGGGTTATGTCAACATGGCAACCCCGAGCAGGAAGTGAAAAGTACTTACCGGTCCATCAGAACGCATCCATGCCATATTTTCCGAGCTAATTGCTGTTCTTGGAAGCTCTGCAGACTGGCAATGGTCTCAGGAAGATGTAGCCCCAGACTTTGAGCATTCCGAATAGCCAATCCAGTGACAATCCAGCATTGATGCGCAGAATCAGTGCTCTGTAAATACTGGGCCATTAGTAGCAGACATTGAATCAGACCCGCTGACCCACTGTCCCACAGATTGAACTGAAACAGTCCTTTTGCCCGAGAAAAAAAGGCATCGGCAGACGCTTCACGTTCCGTCGGCGGGACAAAGTCAGCCAGCTGGCTTGCCAATGCGAAGATGACATTGAGCGTGCACATGAGCATGTTCTCGTCAGATTCTGGAGTCTCTCCTGCCCAAATTCTTGCATACTCCCTCTTCATCTGCGCAGATATCAGGAACGGATATAGAGGGAAAACGTAGTCCCAATACACTTCCATCAGACTGTCCGCCATTTTCCGTGGAGGTAACACATAATTTGCGACGGGATGCTGGGCAGTCTCTGTGCGGGTAGACAGTAGCGTTGAGCTCACAGGTAGACGAGGAGCTAAAGGTCTTCGATAATCCGGAGCTACCTTCTTGTCCACCGCGGTTCTGATTTGACGCATGAATCCTGCGGCGCTGGAGCTCCCGAAAAAGCCTTGGCTGGCACGTTCTTCTTCGACTGCACCCATCATGGCGTTCACTCCATTCCGCTGTGACGCGGGCGTATGTGCACCAGGTTGACTCTGGATGCTTCGGTAAGTTCCGGGTGTCTCGGGTAGTGTTCCCCCGGGGGTTGGTGATGGCAAAGTTGGCCGCTGGATCGCTGTCAGATGATACGAGAGATGATTGAGGTCAGTGATGCTTACTCACGGGAGTAGAAGTTGGTGTGGGGCCTTTGCCTGGCCCCTGGGAGCCCTCGCCCCCTTCAAGTTGTTTGATTCGGGTCTCAAGGTTGGAAATGTATCTATCGATTCGACGGTCAGCGTGTATGTCCAATTTCTCACACAAGAGGGAGTCATACAGCTGATTCGCTTTCCGCTTCTCCAACTCGCCAGTGTAGTTGCATTGCACCCCAAGTTCGGCTCTCTTGCTGCATGGGCCACATACTGAATGGGTTCAGCACGGGTGGTGTTCCGGATTATTCGGCGCCTGGCACATACCGGGTTGGACGCCATCACAGCGAACTTTTCTGGTCCGACAATCATCACACGCCACAGATATCTTGCGGCGCTTGGCCCTATTCGGAGGTTTTGATGCCTGAATATCCATGGCAGAGACCCTGTTGAAATGAAGTGGCCAGCGGATACGGAGTGTGGAGTACAAGAGTTCGGGATTGGATCCGAGCCCGCGGAGATCACGGGAGACCGCTGAGACCTTCTAGGCAACTCACGTGACTCGCTTGATTGGTGTGATTGGCCAGATTGGAACTATAATCCAGAGCAGAACATTTGAACTGTGTAGATGGATAGGTGAATGACACAGCTCAAATTTCACTTTCACATGCTCTTAATTGTCTGCCAGATCAACTCATTTCAGGAGAAATTGACCCATGTCAGGCAAGATTCCGACATCTGCTGCATGCCTCCATCCACCAAGTTGAAAAACAAGTCATGCTCGTCAAGATTTACTCCATCAAGCATGTTATCATCATTCCGAACCATCGTACCTCCCCATTGACTCTCATCAATCACGGGAGGGAGTTGCTCGGCCGAAAGGACTTGATCCAAAACTTGTCGAATTGCTTTCTGTCCTTGCTGTGCCACACGAAAGTTGCCCTCATGTGGTTTGATCATGGTATCTAGATAAGACGCGTAAAGAGTGAGATTTTGGATAATCTCCGACCGGGGAAAGCTGGATGAATTTGCTCGTATTGGTGATCGAGATTGACGTAGTAATTCTGCCGAAAGCACGCCGGCACAAGGTAGACCTGGTAAGCAAAGCTGAAAGAGGGTTTGGTATGTCAGAACTCTTCATATTTGACCAATTCAAGGCATGAGAAGAGGAAACAAAGGAAAACTCACTATCCAACCGGTCCCGCTCATAGCCTGTCCACAGCGAATAATCTTGGAAACCATCAGGATCAATGCCTTCAGGACTTCACGGGAAGTATCGATGATCTCCGGTGGCTGGGTATGTGTGCGCTGTCCGAGGGTTCGATAGAGCAAGAAGTCATTATAGAGAAATTCCAAGTAGAGTTCGAACAGGAATGCATCCTCTACTCTTGAAATGTCTGCTTCGTCCCCATCAGGCATCCACTGGAGGAAGTCCGGCAGTCCTTGTCTTAAACGGCGCGATTCTTGTATCAGTTCCCTGTTAAAGTCAGTAATCCGATTGCGTGCACATGTGAGCAAGAAAAGAGATTCGTCAGCTTACTCGACTCTTTCGCTCAAGTTCTCGGTCTGCCAGCTTAATGATAACTCCAATACTTTCTCCCGGAGGATACTAGTGATTAGTGCAGTTCGAGCCCACGGGCCCTTTTTCAAGGTCCCTGCCTGATTCCACCCGGTGGCCCCGTCCAACCGGGCTATTGCAGCATCGCGAACATTAGGTTCGGCGAAGACTTCCTCCAGACTCAGGTCAAGGGGCATCGGAATATTACAATATCGCCAGCTAATGAGTGGTGGTCTGCCTAGGAAGGTCGCAAGGACTTTGTCAACCGCGAATGCTGCAACCATCGTTCGTTTTCGAAGCTCTGCGAGGAAGAATGGTGCATTTGTACTAGAATCTTGATGCAAGCCGAGTGCAAATACCGTTGTGGACAACTCCCCCAGCTTCCTCCAAGGTCGGAAATCTAGAATTATGTCAGTGGATATCATGGGCGGATAATGATCAGACCACTTACCACTTTCGCCATAAACAATTGTTAAAAGCGAAGTCTGATGCAGTAACATCCAGCTTACAAGATCATTCGCTATTCCAGTGCTGTCACAGAACTGAAGACATATATCACCTACCGCGGTCGCAGTTGTGGCGAGTGTCTTTGCATCCATTGCATCGGTATCCGTAAACACCGGGTGGTCATGGGAAACCAAGTCTGTGGCTAGACCCGTGAGGATGAAGAGAAGACCAATCGTTTCCCACCTCCCAGAACACGTCTTCTTGAATTCCTCCCACGTTGTCGATGATGTGACCTCGAAGTTCCGGGAGTGAGTCTCAAACAGCCTTGTGGACATCAGGACAGCCCGTGGAATGGTGTCCGTCTCTTCCTTCTCATAGAGATCCCACATCTCTTCCACCACAGTAAATATCATATTTGTAATCTTCCACCCAAGCGTCCACCCCTTCCAAATATTGAATCTGATAGTGACAACCTCTCTGTAAAACGAAAGGTTTTCCAAGAGTGCCAAGACTTGTGCACCAAGATTGATTCGTTTGGGGTCGACGGGAACGGTGTTTTGGTCAGCCACTTGCAGCCTCCCAGTAGACAAGCCACTCGTGATATCCGTAAAAACGTCCGAATAGCTAGTCTGGCCCAGAAACCCAGGAGCTGAAACAGATGCCTGTTTCTGCGTCCAAGTCTCGTCGTTATTGAGCAGTCTATTCAGGTTGCTAAGGTGCTTCGGCTCACGCAGCGGGCGAAGCCTTTTGGGCATAATCCCCTCGGATGTGCGAGTCAAGGGTGCAGGGTGATAGACGCACCGAAGGCTGCGGCGCTCGCAGCGCCCACATCTCGGACTAGTATGATCACACCGCAGTTTTGAGGTCCGACATGGCTCACACGAGGACAATTGCCCATTTCGACGAGGAGTCGCCATTTTCAAACTCCGAGTGCCGTGAAGGAAAGTGTGTGACTTGACTCGCAGACATAACAGTGTTGTGGCTAGTACTCCGCGTCGGGGCTCGGGGCTCAGAAAGCGGAGCTCGGAGCTAGATGACTAAAGTACCTAAAGGGCCCCCTCTCGAGATTCAGCTGAACGGCAGGGCTCGACAGCCCCGATTAGCCAGCTTCGTAGTCCCATGGGCCTGTGGAGTGACCTGGGCTGTCAAGTGAAATCTGAGAAAAGGTAAATTCAAGGTCATGCGGGGCGACGGGTTCATACTCGCCGAACCAAGGGCCGTAGCGCCTTACAGGTACTAAGTATCCGTCTGCGTTCTATTCCAATCGTAGCCCTGGAGGTTCAGGCAAAGCAGTGTGGCAAACAACGTGACACAAATTAAAAGCAATATGAGAACTATTGCAATCCAAGATCTGAGTCCAATGAGACACCCTGGATGGGGTCCGAGCTCCGAGGAATTCCAGACGGCTACCTTTTTAGATCACCACGCCATGGAGCACCCATGAACTTCGGGGGGTAAGGACGTATAAAAGGAATGCGAAATTCCCGCCGATACCGATATCTCACAAACAATCTTCCAGGGGTTTTCAGGAACAAATACATCGCACCATGGGTCGACCTAAGATAGTGAAGAGCTTGTGGGCGAAGCTTGGAGGTGCCAAGGTATATATCCACCCCCTTCAACCACCACTCCATCTCTAATAACCACATCAGAATTCCAACGACACCGAGTCCATTCGGCCCCTTAGAGAAGCCGAGCAGAGCACTATTTCAAAGTCAAAACAACATGCATTGAATAAATTTGATCTCAAGCAGACACGATACACTAGTAAGTATTTCCGGCAACTCGACGCAGTCCTCTTCTCACCTGGGAATAGTGACAACTTCTACGATTTCCCGAATTTAATACCTGTTTGAAATATAATTGAGAGTTTGAAACTGAAACTACATGATTCAAAACTTTAGAACCAATTTTTAATTTGAGATAATCAATTTTAAGCATTTGACGCGATCCCATGATGGTCTCAAATTCGTGGAAATAACATTTGGCTGGTTGGAGATAGCTTCTGCCTCAGATCTCGCTATTCCGCACTTGGAACCTCTATACAGCTCGCATGGCTTAGTGGTAAAGCGCATCACTAGTAATGATGAGATCCTCGGTTCGACTCCGAGTGTGAGCATTCTTTTTTGTTTGATTTTGTGTGTCACGAAAGTCTCCACTTTTATTTTTGTAGTGCGAACTGGGATTGTCAGTAGGTCAATGAGAGGGTGAGAGGAGAAAAAAACGTGCGGAACGAAAGGGGGAGAGCGAATCGAAATAGAAAGAGGGGAGATAGGTAGAGGAGAAGGGAAGAATGAACATTGGAAGACAGAAAGTAGAAGCAGAATAGATATCTCAACGTATCGATTCTCCGCAGCAGAGATTCCCTCTGATCGAACCCATTTGTGAAGTGTTAGCATGTTTGCTTGCTTCCACAAACTTCCAACTTCCATGTTTGTTTCCTTTTAAGTATTTATACTTGCTCGATTCCATAGCTCATCTTGCTTCCCTCATACCTTATCCCTCATCGTTAACTTTCAAGGCTCCTCGTTGAGCTGCTATTCTAACGTCGTGCGAAGGTCTGAACCCTTCAGCTTGAATGTAGCAATAAAGGCGCTCGGTGGTACGAGGTGTTGTCGTCTGTAAACGCCTTCGGATAAGGGGATGGCACAAGCAGCGCTCATCGACCATCGAGAAGCGAAGCAGATCCGACTGACTCCCAGGGGGAGCTTCGAGCAAACTCGGCGAAACTCAACGGTGGAACCCCGGAGGCGTCGCCCATTCCGCATACATGGCTTTGGTTTGCATCAAAGGAAATGAGTCACGGGCGAATTCTACTAATACTTGATCTCTGACTGCGAGAACACGGTCACACATTCTCAAGGATTATGCGAACCGTTCTTGTACCAAGTGCGATGTTAGGTCTACGCGGGAAATCGAGAGGGGAAAACCCAATACAACTTACTGGCCACCAAGCTGCGAACGGATATCACTACCTGCGAACTACAACCAACGGTATTTTTCAACTCGCAATGGACCAAGTCATCTTACGAGAACTGGAATAAGCGGATTGATGTACAATAGTCCTCCAAGCTATGGTGTCAAGGTTGAATGATGTCCATCAAACTTGTGGAATCTTAGGCCCATGAATCCATTGATAATGAATTACTCTGTACACATTAATGAGATCAGGATGTGAAATCTATAATAGAGTAGAAATAAATCCGAGTAGAATCGCAAGGTCTACTCTACAGGTATCAACAGTATATTGAAATACCATTTGTAATTTATTGCCAGCGAAAAGTTTCTTGTGGTATCCAGATGATGAATTAAAAAGCCCGCTATACATACCATCTATGGGTTTTGGTGAGCTTTCGAATTTGTTTCTATTGTTCACCATCACTGCCCGGTTATAGTGCCATAATGTCCAGCTATCAACCAATCAGCAGCTCGCATGGCTTAGTGGTAAAGCGCATCACTAGTAATGATGAGATCCTCGGTTCGACTCCGAGTGTGAGCATTTCTTTTTTATTTTTGTTATTTATTTCATTTTAAATGAAAAAGATCAAGAACAAAAACAAGATGAAGGAAGGAGGAAAAAAGCCTTGTTTACCCCTAATTTTTCTTAGGAGATTTCATTTGATTACTTGGATTACCCGCAAAATTGATAAATAGAAACTAGGCACTCTGAATCGCACAAAGATTATGGCAATGTTTCCAAATGTAGGGGAGTTAAAAAGGCGAGGGAAGCTACATCTCATTCAATTCAGATATAAAATCAGAATGAAAACGAAGAAAAAAAATGAGAAAGGAGGCAAAATACAGAGTTCGATGCTGTTATACGATGTGGCAGCCCCAACACCCATATCCTAGATCCAAGGGCCAACAAATTTATTCAAAAGTGAATGCTTGAGTGTCTCTCATCAGTAGAGAGGAAGCTTGTAAGCATCGAAGTCATACGCCCAGGTATCAATGGAAGCCTGGTGGTAAACACAATCCATAGTAGTTCCGTTGTTTTTCCACAGAGGCCGAAGCGGCCAGGAGCAAATCTCTTGCTTTTCGCCCTCGCGCTCACCCTGAAGAACAGTTGCATTGAGTCTCTTAGGAGCAACATCTTCCTCAACCCATTGGATCAATGTCTCCAGGGTTGTCTGGGGGAATGGCCCGTTTGGCTGGTAATTGCTTGGGCTGCAGTGCGCGGCACCGGGGATGAGGTACAGGCGGTACCATTCGGCCAGAGCACGACTGCCATCCTTGTATGACAGGTGAGGGTACATAGTCTCACGGACTGAGTTGTGGTAGTGAACGGAAGATCCAGCGGGAATGCTGGGGTCGGATTCGCCGTGGACAGTGAGAATCTTGCCGCCTGCAGCGTGGAAGGGGGTCAAGTCAGGCATTGTTGTCTGTAGGACATCCTCGTAGCGGTTCCAGCCCAGAGCCATCCATTCTGTCAAGGTGTCGTAGGTCACATTTTGCAGGGTGGACAGGTTGTCTAGATCGACGAGTTCAAGGAACCGGGTTACCCATTCGCCCCCCAGGGAGGTGATGGACAGTTCCCACTTTCCAGTGTCGCTGTTATATTGAGTTTGAGCATCATCGAAGGATGCACTGGGCTGGTACCAGATATAGGCGCGCTTTCCGTCGAGAGTGTGCAGACCCTCCAGCATCTTTTTGGCGGCAGCAGCACCCTTGGCGGTAACCTTTCCGCTCTGCTCTGGGGTGTTGCTCGACATGGAAACACGCTTCTTCAAGTTGATGGTGCTTGAAGAGGCGGCACAGTGATAAGAAGCGCCGATGGTGGAATTCATGTCGAAGTGCAATTTGCAAAGATCAGTGCGGGAAACAACTCCGTCTTCACGGCCATCAAGCTTGTCGCAGCTGGCAATCGTCATGTTCATGATCTTTTCCAGCTCACACGGAGGAGGGTAGTAATCCATTGTTTGTTCAACGACGTTGGGGTAGAGATGGTTGACCTGCTGCTGGCCATATCGCATGGCAGGGGCACCGATGACAGCACCGTCCCAATCACCTGCATAGCGCTGCACTTGGCTCCAGCCTTCACGACCACCCTCCGAGCATCCCTGATAGTAGGCGTACAGCTTGTCTGTGGTGCCGAAGAAACTCTTGGTAAAGGCCTTTCCAATCACAGTCAATTCGTGGTGGGCCTCATATCCGAACATGTAAAGCGCATCGCGGTTGATCGTGCCATTGGCAAGGAGGAAGACATCGTCCACCTGTTCAGTGAATCCTCCAAATCCGCCATCGGTGATACCGGCGGCGGCACCGTACATGATTCCACCCGGGAGAGATGACGATCCAGAGTTGATCGCAAATCCTCCACCGCCAGTTGACAACCAACGATTTTGGAACTTTTCGGGTGCTGGGAGCCAAAGCTCTAGCCAAACTTGGTCATCGCGGCCTGTGTGGGAATAGGCAAAGGTGACATTGCAATAATCGAAGGTGGCATCTGGGAAGAAGTTCTGTCCAGACACGGACGTGTTGTAAACGGGCGACGCGGTAATGGTTGATGCCTTGATGGTGACACCCTTCATAAAGTCACTTTCCGGCAAGGCTGATTTGGCATGGCTGGCAGTGCAAACATCTTTCAGATTAGTTGCGTGCGCCAACCCGAGAAGGCCGGCACTGAGAGAGAGATGTTGGAGCTTCATCTCACAAGCTGTTTTCAATCGCCTTGAATGGAAACAAGATTTTGAAGAAGAAGTGAGTGAGCCAAAATGGGGAACGGGGTGTCCTTTTCAGGGGCCTATTTAAGGAGCTTGCCTCTGAAACTAAAGAGTCCAAGCACCCTGCTGGTCGTTTCCAAGGTTGCTTGAATCCTGTACCGAGTCAGCCCACATTCGATATAAAGATGTGGGGAATATTCACAGTCATCCCCACAGTGGTGAGGAACGTTCCTGCATTTGAGTGTGCTCCGCTACCCTGGCCATACAAATCAAGGAAAATCATCAACTTCAGGGCATGACCTGACGCGGCCGACGCCTAAGCCGACAAATTTTGTCGTAAACTCCACTTTAAACCCCTTGATAATTAGCATTGATGCATCTTGAGCTCGGATAGAGAAGCTTGGCGTCTCAAATAGGAAATCAAGCCCAGCATCTCGGAGATAACTGAGTGATCGACAAATCGAGGGTAAATACTAATCCGACAATGTGGCCCCGGGGTATACCTGCGCTACATGATTTGTCTTTGACTATACCCCGTGCATCGCAATTATTTGATGCGTACCTGCGTAGCACAATTTCGGACGACCGAAGAGGAAGAGAAACAACTTTTAGGACATCTAGAATGTGGATATTGATAAATAAGAACTCGGAGTCAGAACTTGAGTTGAGTATAAAGAAAACCTAAATTGGATATATTGCTGGCTAAAATCCCCCATCTATGAAACAGGCTGTGCCACTGCCCCATTGATACTCTCTAGATGCTCCACTTTTGATGCCTTGATCGCATCAACGTCGACCTCCTTGGGATAAAAATCAATCTTTCCACCCTCTTGAATCACATTCATGCGATCCAAACAAAGACGCGCGCGAACATAGGGATCAAGCTTCCAGTGGTTCACACGCAGTCGCTCAACCAAATAATCTCTCTCGCTAATAGCCGATTGAATCTTAGGCGCGTCCTTTGACTTTGTCGCGTCGATCCAGGAAGATGTGGCACCTAGGAACTCATCGCCGATGCTTGATCGCTCAGCCTTGAGAGCATCCCGAGTTGTGGTGTCTTCCATCGCTGAGTTTTCGCTCTCGGTTGGCTCGATGTACTTGTAAGCCCAGTCTTCAGATCCGCCCATTTCCTTCACGATCTGGTCCCGGGGGATGAATTTCTCCAAATCGGAGACACTGTTTGTGAATTGAACCTTGGCTGCGATCTCGGGATCCATCCAGCCTCGGATAAGTCGCCAGATTCCTGCAAGATTGGAAGGTTAGTGAGTGAAAACCAAGTGAAACTTTACAAATGACCACTCACCCGAGAAGACCCAGGGGGCATTGTGAATAAGCATAATCCCCAGCGATTCGGGATAATTGGCCTCAAAGCACTTGAGAATGAATTTCACAGGTGGGTATTCCTAGAAGTCGTAGGTTAGAAGACATGTTTCAGTCGCTGGATCATTCATCAAAACATACCATGTTTGACAATCCGAACCCTGTCATATCGAATAAAACCGCCTATTTGACATCAGTCATGTCGCGAGAAAATACAGTTCATCCCCAAACTTACCGCAGTCTCAACGGGAGACGCCAGAGTCAGTCGCACCGACTCAATAACATGAACAATATAGCGCTCCAGCGACTCCTCTGTCTGGGCACCAGGCTTGTGCAAGCGAACCCGTACAACCACAATTGGACGACCCACGCGATCAACGCCATGGACATAACTCTTACCCATGCGCATCTGGGACAAGAAGTCTTGACCAGCCTTCTGGTCACTTGTGCTTGACTTATTCTGCGTCTGCTTGAGAGCATGTAGCTCACCCTTCGCCATCACATCGTCGTCCACGTGCATTTCCTTAACACGCCAGACAATCGCATCCATCATCATTGCGAAAGCCTTGGGGACATCCCACTTGCGTGCGCGAAGGAATCGTAGCATCATTGCGTCAGGGTGGTCGTGCTTCAGGGTATCGAGAACTCCTGTCCGAAGCTCAGTGGGGGTGATTTCCGAAAGAGCCTTCTGGATTGCCTTGGACTCAGGGGCGCCAGCGCCCAATTCTCCGAGGTATTTCATAATGTTCTGTTGGTAGGGTGTATTGGCGATAGGGATTGTTTCCGAAACGTTGCTCTGCGTGCGACCAAGAAGCGATTGTCGTCTTTGCGGCTGGGTCGGGGAGACATTCTGCTCTACACTGGGACCGGTTGGTTCGTTGCTGAGATCTGTTTCGCCGGCCTTGAGCAGGACTGCCCAGAGCTTTTGCAGTTTGGCTTCCTGGTCTTTGTTGAGGTTACCCAGAAAGCCGGGCTTGGGTCCGTCGGCAGCCATGGTGATATTGTATAGTAACAAGCTGTGAAGGGGGCCGAATAATGGTTGGGTTCGAGAGAAAAGCAATTGAGTATAAAGGAAAAGAGCGCGACAAGATTGGGGACTAGTGGGATTCTTAAGCTACGAGTGACTAGCAGGGTAGATGATGTATAAATGTGGCTCTAGTGTGCCAATGATCGCCCAAAATCCACATGAAACCCCTCATCGCATCCCCCGGACTCTGCCTCGGTCCCCATACCTGTTGCGCGGGGCCAATGCGCCCCTGTTTTACCAGTGTCGATCTATCGCTCTTGTCCTTGGCGATCATGATAATAACTGCAAGATACAACCAAGGTCGAGCTGGTTGTCTGTTCGCAGCAACCCCCCTTCGGGTCGGCATCATTGCCAAGTGTCACCAAACGCAAAACCCAAATTTGAGCCAATAAAAGCCTCAGAAATGGTGAAAGCGGATACGAATCAGCGTTGAATGGCCAATGGTAGTGCATTTTACAATGACACCCGGAGAGTTGCGGCAAAGGACAAATTCAACGAGAAAATCAAAAGCCTCGGGGCTAACCGAGCGTTTGCAATCTCGTTCGCACTATGAAGTGGGGACCATATCCGTATACTGAGATTGAATTTGATTTTTGAACCCCGCGTATTCCAGAGAGCCCCACGTCATTACCAGCTTAGCTTGGACTGAGGGGCTAAGTCGCCTGGTTTTCCAGGCCTAATACCTTAGAACACCCCCATGCGACGTACATTGCCATCAGATGAGCTCTGTAATACTTAAGTATGAATATACATGTACACTCACGTTTTTCTCACCTGCGCTACGCCCTCGTGCCCCCCCCCCCCCCCCCCCCCACCACCCCCCCCCCCCCCCCCCCCCCCCTCCTGTGAGGGGGCCCCCCTCCCCCTCACCCAATGCCTTTCACGTCCCCACCCATTTT